CTCCAATCTACCCTCCAACTGAGGGCAACTTCTTATCTTAGGTTCCCTTTCTTTTTTTACCTTTGTTAGGTAAGGCCTAGACATTTAATCCAATCCACCCTTCAACTGAGGATGATCTCTTAGGTTTCCCTATTTTCCTGACCTTTGTCAGGCAAGGTCCTAGTCATTTAATCTGGTACCCCTAGCTTGGTACCCCCTTTTTAATACATATTATAGCCTTACTTATAGGCTATCCTTTTAGATCTCTGAGTTTTTCTTTACTTTCCTGACCTCAGTGGATCAGGTGAAAGACTGGCCTTATTTATTAACTTTACCATTTTTTTTTAATTTATCTGTTTTTAATCCATCCTCCCATTGAGGATGATTTTCCAATCCACCCTCCAACTGAGGGCAACTTCTTAGGTTTCGCTTTTCTTTTTTGACCTTTGTTAGGCAAAGGCCTAGACATTTAATCTGGTACCCCTAGCTTGGTACCCCCTTTTTAATACATACTTATAGCCTTACTTGTTGGCCAGTCTTTTAAATCTCTCAGTTTTCTTTTACTTTCCTGACCTCAGTGGATCAGGTGAAAGACTGGAGATTTTTTTATTTTATTTCTTATTTTACCCTCCTTTTTTTTTTTTTTTTTTTTTTTTTTTTGACTGGGTTTCTCTCTAACCTTTTAGAGGCTGTCCTGGAACTCACTCTATAGACAAGGATAGCCTCCATCCTACCTACCTCTGTCTCTTGAGTGTTGGGATTAAAGGCATATGCCATCAACACCTGACTCTAAAGATCATAGCGAACATCCTTTTAATCTGGGACATTTAAGCCTCCCCCAGTAATGAACCATGGACTCCCACGTTCAATCCATATTAAAAAGCCTTCCATGGTTGTAGTCCCCTGTTCTTTAAGTAACTTTTTAACTTGATACTGTAATTCAAGCTTCCCAGAACTATTCCCCATGGTTTCTTTTCTTTTTTCCCCAATCTGTCCCTGGCCAGAAAAAGAGACGAACCCGCTCACTTACCTCGCTTTCACGATCTCGGTGGGACTTCCAATTGTCACACCTGCTGTGCGGCCTGCATCTGAGAATGTAGCAAGGTGGTCGGGATAGATGACACAGAGACAGGTCGGTTGCTTTAAGAAAACTTTATGCTTCCCAAGTCAGCTTAGGAGGAGACCCCAGTCTGCTTAGGAGAGAGCTCTCAGGAGAAGTCTCTCCAAGAAAAAGGAGCTTCCCTTTTTAAGGACTTCTGCCATCCATCTACATACAATTCTTTCCAGACTTCTCACCCTCCTGGCTGGTGGTTTAATCTCCAGCCCCAGAATCGGGGAGACACCGCAGGGGGGACAGGAAGAGGCATCTAGCCAAAGGGGGTGTGAAAGTCATGGTATCTCAGTGAGTGAGCCCTTATCTGAGCCCTATCAAGAGCTTTAAAGCACTGAATTGTTTTCAGTAAACATTACACAGCTGCCTGCTCCCAGGCCGAAGGGGAAGTGGGTTTCTGCTCAAGGTCTGGTGTCCCCACAGGATGGATTATGCAATTTCTCTCTTCTGTGACAACTCACCACCACCAATTTACCAAAAAGGACTGTTGCCTTGGCATTGGCATTTCTGATTCTTTCTTGTTGGCATTAGATAGAGACACTACATTGTTTCCAACATTCAAGAAAGGAATGTGTCTTCTACCAAAGTGAGGATTCTGACTGCTACCCATTTCTCACCTTGTCCTCCTCCCCACCAGCCTTTCCTCGCAGACATTTGTGCTGTGCGAGAGTTAGCTTGAAGTCTACCCCATTAAAAAGAAGCAAGTACAAATGCTGGAAAATTAACCATTTCTTCACCTGCCTTTTCCTAATCCAGTCCTCTGGAATCCCTCCATGAATGTCTGCCCTACTCACTTGGAAAGTGTGCAACAAAAATATATGTGTTTTGGGGTTGCATGAGGATTCCTTTTTTTCTTTCCTGGTGGCTATCATTTTGATGGTCATATGTGTCAGCTGCACCATTACCAGACACACATAGCAGCCATTTTTCCTGTCCTCCACAATCACATTCCTTCTGTCCCAGTGTTCCTGACCCAGCTCAATGACACTAGGAACTGTTCTCACATTTCAAATCCTCCTGCCATCTCTTAATAGGACATAGTCTGTTGACCCTTATGCCTGCGAGTAGTGACAAATGTGTAACAAGGGAAGTCATCAGGAAAGCATGAAGGGAGCTCATGATTGTCATTAAGAACTGCCATGTTGCCACCGTGTGTAACATTAACCTGAGATTCTGAAATGCATTACTAACAGGCCCTAATAGCCACCATTGAGTCAGATTTCCTATAGATTACGAATGAAAGTGACTTCATGCACAAGTATTTTTATTCGAGGAAGGTTCATGACTTCTTCACGGCTATATGGTCCCTTTTTATTTGAAAAAATCGTGAATTAATGGGAGAGTATTTTCCTATTATATTAGATTTCAAAATTATCTAGGCAGTCATTTTTTAACTCCTGTCCTTAAACTATTAGATATTGAAAAAAAATCTGTAACTGGAAATTTGCATATTGGAGAATTTCCAAATTCAGTATCATTAAAATGAACACTTTGTTTTGTTTAGTAAATACAGCATTACGTTTTCATATCAGTAGTATATCACAGAAAATAAAAAGACTATACAGTTTGCGTTGAAAGGTATTCAGTGAAAATCTTAGACAGAAAAAAAACCTGAAAGAGGAAAAGTTTTAGAAAAATAGAGATTTTCTCATCTTACATAATGTGACTCAGCTCTGACCTTTTAGCTGAATTCAAGTGTGGGCACATAACTGTTGCTATGTAAAGTAAAAAGACACAATTATAAAAATAGGAAAAAAAGTGGGCTAAGATAGCTCAATTTTTGTAGCAAGTCCCCACCTCTGAAACATCAAGTTGACAGAATAATCTGAATATTGGGCTTATTTTATTCTGGTACAGAAAACATCTATAAATCTATACTGGTCTGCTTTTAAATGTTAAGAAGAAAGAACATTGCTAATATTTAAGATTCAAAAGGTGTTTTCACCAATATTATTTAGAAGGAGGATTTGAAGATGGAAAGTCTTCAAAGACTTAGCAGCCTGGAAAGTGTTTGTTTTCCTGGAGCTAATGACTTTTCTTTTCCTGTAACTAATCAGTCTTGAAATTCTCAAATTTAAATTTTGTTTAAGCACGTGTGATCCTTTTACATCTTTGGTGACAGTCTTCATCTCCTCCCTGATGGCACTCACTGCTTTCTCTGGAGCCATCATTTGAATGCTGCCCTTCAAAGGCAGAATTTCACCTTCTTGATTGAATTTGTTTTCATTTTTGACCTTTGCCTTTTTCTTTCATTACACATTTGGGATGTACTTTGCTTTTGTGTGATGACGTTTTCTTTAGTTTTTTTTTCTGATATTTCTTAACTTAATCTAGAGTCTATGTGCACCCAGGAGAAACTTTTATGCTCCTATTCTTATTCCTAGGTTGAAGCTTTTCCTTTCTTATTGGGTCCTCTTGACTCAGTTGCCAGGGGTCAAAAAACTGCAATCGATTTGAGCCATTTAAGTAGGTTTTACAGGTATTTTTTTCCAGTTGAAATAAGAAGAGCTGCTGTTCCCCTACTTCTTCGATGGGGCTGGGCTTAGCTCACCTCACCTGTTCTCCCTGTGGGACTCTTGCCAGATGGTGTGTGAATTCCTTTTACCTAGAAAATTATTTTTTGTATTTTGTGCTATGCTAGAAAAATCTTAGATGCTCGTTGTTGGAGGCCTTTTTCTTTCAACATTTTATCCTCAGTTATTGAATATTTAAGGGAAAGCAAAATCTAGCATGGTTAAATACCTTAAAATTTTAACAAGCCTTAATTCGATAAATACACATTTCTTCCAGTTTTGTATCTTCAAGGCTTACTTTGCTATTGTAAAAGAATATAAAGTCATAGTTAGTTTGATGACATTTCAAAATGTAAAGTGATACACAGAGAAATTTTGTATCTTGTATAAATTATGCCTTAGTTGTTGGAATTATGTAACCATTAACTTCAAGAATAATTACCTTGATACCCGCTCTCTAGGTTGCCAGTGTCTCTGTAAGCATGCAGAACATAGATATAAGTTCCTCCCGGAAATTATGCAAACTCAACATAAACCCTCACTTCCACTCCTCTGTTTTTACAGCTGTGTCATTCTCCCCTGTGTGTACCTTAAGATGACACCTGCATCCTCTTCCATGCCATCCTTGGGGTATTTGAATTATCCAAGGGAGGCCTCAGGCCTTGGACTCCTGCTCTGCTTTTCTTAGCCCAGTAGGGGAGTCTGTGTGCTGAATTTCTGCACTTGATTAGTTTAGAGATGAGGTACCCAGTGAAGCCTGGCTGCAGATCCAACCCAAGACACCAAGTGGTCATGCTAATACCGTATGTGTAGGAGCTGAGATTCTCCTATTATAAACTTCTGCTTCCTCTCTCATATTCTTTAGGAGAAATAATAATAGGGGCTTGTGTTTGTGTAGTGAGATCTACCTCCTGGGCTGCACCCGTGTGACCCATTTCACTTGACTGCCACGGTAGAATGTGAGCATAATGGCAGGGTGATTATTCACATGTCAAACATAAGAAGACAGTACCATGGAGTATAAATTTTAACTGATATATGACATTCTAAATCCATTGCTTTTCCACCTCCACTCTGCCCTTTAATAACCAGATTCTGGATATTTTGACTTCTCCTTCATATTTGAATTTGTAACTAAGGATCAAAAACTGAAATTTAAGAGAATAATGCTACTTAGTTTTCTCTAGACACAAACGGAATATTGTAAACATAATTGGAAACCCAGTATTTTAATTAACCAATTCATTCTCAGTTTAGCAAAAACTCACAAATAAAGGCTTGGAGCAGGGGAATTGAAGTATTTATCTTAAATGGAAACTAAATTTTGAGAAATCTACCTTCAACTGATCTGACATTTCTAATCGCTAAACTTTTGTTTCCATATGTTTTTATTCTAGTTATGTTTCGTCTTTATGACACAGATGGGAATGGCTTCCTGGACAGCTCGGTAATTTTTTCTTCAAACTTCTCTGAAAATTGAAAGAAGCAATGGCTAAATTCATAGCTATCGCCACAGAAGGCACACACACCTCACAGAACTTACATCTACTCAGGTAGCATTTTTGTCAGCTGGACAGAGAGGACTGTGAGCATTCTGTCCAATGGATTTGAAAATAAAATGACTTTTTTTCTGCACTAAGCTTGGTAAAAGAGGAGAATTCTAGCTTTATGAACAAAACAGGCCAGAGCTGAAACCGTGATCTAGAAAACTGTCTGCAGGATTCACCTCTAAGATAAAGTATAGAGTAAGCATATAGAATTTAAAGAAATTGTGAAACTGACTTATAATTTCCCCTTCAGGTATTCTTACTCACAAACGGAGTTTAGGGAAGAGAATATACTTACAGCCTGATGTGAGAAATCTGTTCTCAAAAGCCCTCATTTAATTTTGTAAGAAGTTTTCATTGTATAGCTTAAGTGAGAGAAAAAAATAAAAGGCAAAAAGTGTATCTGAATGATAACCTGAAAAGCGTAATTAAATGTTTCATTTCTAATATATGGGAATCAATGGTGGCTTTCAGAGAAGTAGAAATGAGACACCCTTAGTGCACATCAGTAGTTCATGCTGCACTCAATTCTATTCTGTTTTTGCTGATAATATATTTTGTGCCTCCAAGAAAAATACAAACAGTAATATAAGAATTGATGTTGGTTTAGCCATTTCCAACTGGGTGGCTTTGTCGATTTCTGTATTGTCATTGTGGCAATGCTGAAGACTGAACCCAGGGAATCACTGGATAGCAGACTCAGTTCTAACTGTCAAAATACATTTAAAAGAGAGGAAATGCACATAAGCGTATGATATGGTCCATTGGAGCACTTCATTGTTCAGTTGGTGTAAGTTGCTATGGGCTTTGACGCTATTGCTAATGTGTGTAGTTAATGACAACGTGCAGGCTGTAGCTCTTTCTTCCACCAGCTCAGGTAGTCAAACTTGGTGACAGATGCCTTAACCTGCTGAGCCACCTTGCCACATAGACTTTTGCAAGGATGCTAGTGACATTAGACATGTGTTTCCATAGCAGTAAGAATAATTGCATGCTCGTTTCTCCAGAGCGAATGAAAATACTGTGATCCCGACATCGAAGAATGAGCTCCACCATGAATTGATGCTGTGACTTGGGGCTTCTTGGGTCTAAACCTCAGAGCTCCTTTGTTCATCTTCTGTGTAATAATTTACACTTAAAAATACTGAAATACAGAATGAGCTTACTCATTTTTTCTATTGCCATTTCACAGAAAGGCATCTAGATTTCTTGTAGATGTTTGAAAATGTTTATTGTATCATTCATGTCTACACTAATGCAAATTATATTCTAATATATCTAATGCAGATTTGTTTTATGTAATGTTTCTTTTTAATTAAATTAAAATGATATGTCTTAACTAGGCTTTTAGCCATGGCTTGGCAGCTGATTTGAAAATTCAGTCAAGTACTTCTTTTTTTCCTGGATTTTGTCCATTTTAAGGGAACATATGCAGTTGGTTGCTGAAAACACTTTTAAGTACATGCCCAATATCAAACATTGATTTGGGAATGAATGGAGTAATTTTTAATTTCTATTTTCTTTTTTGTTTAAATTAAAGGTCAATATATAAACTCCAGAATTTTTTTTACACATCATACTATTTCCTTTAATATCAGCTTAATATTTTGACTTATAAAAATTATGTTGATATATTAATGATATAACAGTTCACCTTCTCGAGGCAAAACATTAAGAACATTGTTAGCTTGAATGCTGTGTCACATTATTATTAATGTTTATTGATTATTTTCAACACTCTGGTGTCCTGATGAATGCATTTCATATAATGATACATACTACCTTTATAGATCTTTGTGGTAATCATGAATCTGATGAGGTTAGGATGACCATTTACTTGTGAGGAAACTAAGAGAGGCTAAATGATTTATCTAATTTACATGCCTATGGCAAAGTCTATGAACCACAGGTTCTGTTATTTGATCCAGTCTTTAACATATCCACAACAATGGAGTGAATGAGAGGTTAGTAATTCCCACTGAATAGTCAGCAGGTATTCGAGTTTAGCAGTCTCTAATAAGTATATTTGAATTGTTTTTTCTGTGACAACCTTTCTCACGTGACATATCTGTTAGTTATATGTCTTCTGGGAGTAGTGTATCTCTCATTCATTTCCCAAGGAATCTCTTTGGTATGCATGAGTTTACCTCTTCTTGCCATATTACTGTCTTTATCTCATGAACTGTGACCAAATGTGACAAGGATTCCAGTAGAAAAATCCTTGGTTTTATATATTTTCAAGCTTCATCTTTACATAATTTTACATTTCAAATTAAAAGAAATATCAGTTCTTAAATAAAATATTTTCCATATTATAAGTAAACATGAAAATTTGTAATTGTTTTTCTGGAGATAGCTGAGAAAACAAAGCTGATTGGGAATGTTCTTCTGTAAATGTGTTTCTCTTAGTGGTTAATGAATAAAGAACTGTTGGCCAATAGGGAAGTAAGATAGATGGGACTAGGAGAGGTGAAGGATTCTAGAAAATATAGGCAGATCAAGATAACTAAGGAGAAATGTCTCTGGACATTTCTCTGGTAAGATAAGACCATGTGGAAATACTTAGGCATAGAAAATAGGTTTGTAATTAAGACTGAGCTAGCCAATAAGAAGCCATAGTCAACAGTCAACACCTTTATAATTACTATAATGTCCTATGTGTTATTTGGGGCATGAAGCCGCAGTGGGACCCAGGTAGCTGGCAGGAAAGAGAACACGTAACACAAAGCTTTAGGTATACACATTAAAAATAATTCAAATTTATTTAGCCAAACCGTAAGTCTTCACCAGCAGTTCTTCAAAGAGCTGAGTCTAGGACAGAATATGAAAATTTAAACAAAATTTGACCTTCTCAGCAAATAAACCCTGCATATGATTAGCCTGCAAACCTTGACCTCAAAACACCATTCTATTGAAGTATCCTGAGAGATGGCCAGCACGGTTAATATACACTTTCAGTGCATGAAAACAAAAATGAAGCTATCAGGTGTCTGTCAGTACCTCCAAGCCTCAGGACTTCTGGTGACTTGAGAAAATGCACCTGTACTCCTACTTTCAAGGAATCCTGGCTCTAGGAAAGCCTTGCTTAGTGTTGTGGCTCCCTCTCCTGGTTAAGGTTTCAACTGAGGATCGGGAGGGGGGATTTTTAAGATACCTTTTTCTGTATATTAGTTATAAGACTCTATAACAGCTAGTAAAGTTTTGATTTAGTCACTCTCTTCTATGTTGTTAAAATATATCTAAATATCTTCTAGGTATGTATATGATTTTCAAAAACCGGCCATATAAACATTTGACCTCTTGTACTAACTGAACAAAAATGCTCTAAATCCAAGATTAACTAGTTGTTTTTTCTGTTTCCCTCACTCCCTCATATCCTCCCATCCCTTCCACCTAACCCAGGAATTAGAAAACATCATCAGCCAGATGATGCACGTTGCAGAGTACCTCGAATGGGATGTCACTGAGCTTAACCCGGTAGGCATGTGGATGAGTAACGTGTTCACTGATGTGTGCATGGTCGCTTTCCTTTTCAGTGCTCTCAGGATCTGATATTTTGTGATCAATTGTTTTTAACTTTTGTGTCTCAGTGATTATATCTAACCAGAAGTCAAGTTTAGAATGGAATGACAGGGTCCATGTGATGTTCTGAAGTTGTAGGCAGTGACCTTAGCTTTCTTGCTTATGGTTATTATGTTCTGAATGGTGAGGTTGCATACACAGAGGTAAGTGGACACTGCTAAGATCATGCTACAGAAGAGGCTGCTCTATTTGTATCCAAGGTGGATGGTGTCACCCCCATGCATGCGTAATTTGTGCCTGTAACTTGAGGATGCACTGATCTCTTTACTTTTTAGGTGGATGAACTGAGACCCAAATATGTTGAAATTGCTGACTCAAAGCTCTACAATTATTCAAAAACACAGCCAGCAATTTTTTTCAGTTTGCATTAGTTCTTTTTTTAATTTAAGTTAGAAACAATCTTGTTTCACATTTCAATCCCAGCTCCCTCTCCCTCTCCTTCTCCTCCGCCCTCCCCACCAGGTCTCCACTCCGATTCCCAAGGACGGTGAGGCCCTCTATGGTGGATCTCCAGTAACTGTCATTTCATCCAGGGCAGGGCCTAGGCCATCCCACAAGAGTCCCGGCTGAGAGAGCCTCCCATATTGTGGCATGGGCACTCAAAACCTATTTGTACACCAGGGATAAATACTACCCAAGGCCCATAGGTTACCTAGGCCTACTCACTCACACCCACATTCAGGGGGCCTGGGTCAGTCCCACGCTTTCCACACAGCCATCAATCTGGAGTACAAGAGCTCCCCCTTGTTCAGGTTAACTGTTTCTCCTTTGCCCATCAGTTCTCTCTTTCTGACACTGGATTTCAGGAGTTCAGTTCAGTGTTTGTCTGTGGGTATCTGCATCTTTAAAGAAACTGTTTAAGGAAATAAAAATGTCTCCTAAGAACCTGAAGGCATTGTACTGTGTATGAATTTTTTAAAAAACCTCTAGCATCATTAAAATATACTGAAACATTCCTATTTAGGCAACTTAACTTTAGACATGAATAATATTTTGGGTGAAATTTATTGGAGACAGTTGACTGCCTTATTGTTTAAGCGCATTAAGTCTATACAATGTCATGAAGAAAGAAATTCAATTTTATTTAAATGGTCTGCATACCACATGTATCTGAGAGGCTTATTTGTAAATCAGTCCTCACATTACATAGCTACTACCATGATAAAGACAGGAGACTGAGGCTAAAGCTCAGGATGCCCTCTCCTTCTGTCTTAGTCAAAGCCAGGGCAGTCCCGATTCCCGTGAAAATGGTGACACAAGGATTGAGACTTCTTCCTGCTCCCCTGTTCTAACTCAACTGTATTTCAGTTTTATTGGTTTTGTGATGGGGATGTGCCTGTGCTCACAGCAAGTGACACTGCCATTGGCACTTGTAGTTTGTCTATGGAATTCAAGGAACCGGTAAGCCGTGTATTTAATTAATTGAATAATTCATGTCAGTAGTCTACTGAAATCATGAGTAGAAGTTCTGCTGTTGCTTTTGATCAGAAAAAAACCTAGAATAGTATTTTACCACCTGTTCATCTGCTTATTCTAGTGGGAGCAAGTGAAGGGGGAATCTGTTTCTGTCAGGTGTAATAGCAGAAGCAGATACCACCAGAAAACAGTTTTCAGTGCCTAGTGCTGTTCCAACATGAGATATAGGTGTTCCAAAGAGACAGCAGTTGGTGGCTGGACATTTGACTATGACTGATATCTATTGGAGATTACAAATAACAACCAGGGCATCATTTGTCCTAAGTTATCCTGATAATGTTGGCTTCTCATCTGGACATTACAAATAGTGGAGAGTTAAGTAAACATCCTTACTTTCAAAATGTGTTTACTGTCATAGTTCTTATTTTGCTACAGCCTCAACAGTTCTTTTCCTTTTAACATTTATAGACTTTTTTTCATCTACACAAATAAAGTGAACACCATGAGGTTGGTAGAAACTAATAGGAAGACCTAGATGTCCTTGGCCAGAACTTTTGTGAAATGAATTCAGACTATGACATCGGGCTTAATAAGCATGAGCCATTAAAGTATGAGGCTGAGTATGTGTGGTGTATCATTTCATTCCCATAACTCTGGCACTAAAGAAGGTGAACTGTTCATCCAACTTGACCTAATTATGGAGACCCTTCGTTACAAAGCCAAAAGTCACGCATAGGTTTGTGAGGCAAGTCTCACCATGCCTTATTCTTTGCTTTGACAGGGTCTCATAATTTAGTCTAGTATTCACTCAACCTCCCAGTCTTGTAGCTCTCAGGTTCTGGGTGTTGGCATCTCAGGTGTGAGCCATCCCAATAAGCTTATTTCTGTTACTTGAACATCTCTAGTCATTCATTGACACACCTGCAAGGGGAATAACATTTTAGTAAGATTTTATGCCATTTTATCAAATTCTAAGTCATTTGACATTTATAAAGAAATGGTGATGTGGTGTGACCTGCTCCCCAAAGTCTTCTCCATCAATAGATCGTTGTGTTGCTAGGAAAGAAAACAGTCTGATGAAAGACACCAAGCAACCAGGCAGAAGGCTAAGGAAATGTTTTTCATACTTCCAATTCAAGCATCACATTCGAGCATCTTTACACATCATTGTTCTCAAGCTGTTTGGATGTATTTTCAAACTGATTAAAATGCCCACATTATAAAAAAGGCAATATGTTCCTTATTCTTCTAAGTTTCTACCATATTGACCTACCTAGTTTTCATAGATTGGAAGCCTGTTGACCTTCACAGCAACCAAGGATAACGTAATTGTAACTTGGATATAAATTATGTATATATGTACACATTTATGTTACACATATATAATTTATATATATATATAAGTATGTATATATTTGTGTTAATAGCCACCCAAACAGTACATGGAACTTCCTATTTATGCCAGGGGTCTTTAACTTATAGTATTTCATCTCACTACATTTTCCCAACCCTTTGAAATAATTATCCACATTATCACCACACTATAAAGAAGAGACTGTTTCACAATCACCCATTATTGTACATTACTTGCAAGCTGTCGTCAAAGAAATCTAATCAAATATGATCAAGTCGTTAAGTCTGGGCTCTGTTAAATTATTATAAGCAATTAAGAACAATTTAATTCCCTCACCCACTGCTACTTAACAAAGAATTATTTGAGCGCTTTGCCATGATGTTAATTTGTCCAGACACTTTCTGGCATATATATGAACTTAAAAAGTGATCTTGAGGAAGTAATTAGAGACTACTTTCATCCTTGTATTAGAGGTACCTTTTAATTTTCACTGTGCAGCTGGTCTTGGAGGAAAAAAAGTTTAAAAATTGAGCTCCTGTTTCCAAAAATCGATCATCATGAAAAGCGTGTTTCCAGAAACAATAACAAAATCAACTACCTTCCCAATAACAGGATTAATACATTTATTTACAGACATTTTTCTCTACTCTCACTAAGTGTCTACTCACAACATGGTCTAAACAGTTGGAGGCAATGGCCTGTTGAATCATAAGGATTTTAAAAGTCAATTCTTTTTCCAGATCCTCCATGAAATGATGGAAGAAATTGACTATGACCGTGACGGCACCGTGTCTCTGGAGGAGTGGATTCAAGGAGGAATGACTACTATTCCACTTCTTGTCCTACTGGGCTTGGAAAATGTAAGCCTTTGTCCTGGGTCCCTGAGATGCTCTTTGGCAGCCTTCCATGATCAGTAGAGTGGGTCATCTTCTAACATTCACCATGTAGTGAGTGTGTTAACTTCTAGTAATTCCACAGTGTGGTTTGGTGAAACAAATCCATGTAAAGAAAGTTTGCGCATACGTGTGTAGGGAATATAAATGAGATCAGGGCTTAGGAATATCTTTGGATGTAGGCGATGGGCATTGTCTCATTTCCATCTGGACCCCCCAGGTATTCTGCTTTCTCTCTCACCTCGTTCCCCAGAAGATCCATGGAATTTCAGATGTAGTCACAGGGCAGAAACTGAAATACATGTGGGAATTACCCTTAAAATAATTTATTAAAAAGTCAATGCCATTGCTCGCAATTCAGGTTTTTCACATATTCACTTTGAGGGCCTAGGGATTATCTCAGTCTACTGCATTGTGAATAAGGATAAAAATAATACAAAGATTACAAAAAAGAAAAAAAAGAAAAGCCCATGTGAGGGAACTAGCACACTAATTCACCTTGAAAAAATGATGAAGTATGTTTTGAACTTTGTATGCTGTACATAATCTCAAATTTTTAAAGATAAATTGCCATGTATTTATATATTTATAAGGAAATTATGAGGACAGCATAATGTCAACATATCAAGGAAAACAATAAAATGGCAAATTTTAAGGTTTCCTGCAGTAATGTGCAGCTGTCAGACAACTTAATTTAGGATCTGTAGCACAAATTCTACTTGGTATTAGTAAAAAAAAAATCTCAGAAACAGATATTGTGGCTAGGTAAGCAAGGCATCCAGGGCAAGATCATGTCCCCAGGAATCCTCAGATGGAATCAAACCCCAGACTCAATGAGCTCCTGTCTCCTCTGCCTTATATTCCTCTCTCTGCCCAGCCTTATCTCTCCTGTATCCACCTTCCCAGTGTCAGGACTGAAGGCCTGTGATCCCAAGTGCTGGGGTCAAAGTGTGAATCTCTGTTTCTCTTTTAGACAAAGTCACCGTCACATAGCCCAGGTTGGACTTGAACTCACAGAGATCCAACACTCTCTGTCTCCTGTGCTGGGACTAAAGGTGTGTGCCACCACTGCCTGGCCTCTGGGACTAGTTAGTGTGGTTAGCCTTGCATTTTTATTTCCAGGCAAGCTTTATTTGTTAATATCGTAAACAAATGTGACCACAAAGATCTTCCAAAATTACCCCCTTTCCAGATTTCAAAACTAAAATTTGGATGCTCTAAGTGGAGGTGATCTTATAGGGGAGAAGGGGAGGTGTAGGTTGTATGAGGGAAATGTGGCTGTCTGGGGCTGGTGAGGTGTCACCGTGGGACAGCACCTGCCTCCCAGACCACCCCAAGCTCCACAGAAAGAAACATGGCAAAAGCAAAGAGTTTGATTGCTTGAACTGAGAGAAGGAGAAAAAAAAAGAACTGACAAGATATGGTCATTTGGAAGTAATTATTTAGAGATTTAAAAATATTATATATGCCAGGCGTTGGTGGCACACGCCTTTAATCCCAGCACTCGGGAGGCAGAGGCAGGCGGATCTCTGTAAGTTCGAGACCAGCCTGGACTACCAAGGGAGTTCCAGGACAGCCTCCAAAGCCACAGAGAAACCCTGTCTCGAAAAAAACAAAAAAAAATATTATATACTTCAAAATACTTTGAAAAATCATTTAAAAAATAGCATTTCACTATAGATCTATAAAATTTTAAATCAGAGTGTCTTAAAGAAAGAATATACTTCATTTTAGTGTGACACTTACTGGATGAAAATATTTAGATTTTGATATAGCAGATAGCTATATGTATTTTATGGTTATAACTGTATTTGAAAATTAATTTTTTATGTTTAGCGTGCAAAAAGGATTGTTTGGCATTTAACAAGAGATATCGATGGGGGGGTTCCTTAGTCATCTGGGCTGTGTCCCCAGTGACGACCACTGAAAATTAATTTTTTATGTTTAGCGTGCAAAAAGGATTGTTTGGCATTTAACAAGAGATATCGATGGGGGGGGTTCCTTAGTCATCTGGGCTGTGTCCCCAGTGACGACCACTAGATGGCAGGGCAGCATTGCTTAACACAAAGAGTTTTTCTTTTTTAATATGGAATTGGACATTTTTATTTTTTTCTGCTGTAAAGGATCATTTTAAAAGAAATTTCACTTCTTTTAGTTTTTTATATAAACGTGTAATTCAACAATTTAACATCAATTTTAATTGTAAAACATGATCTCTGTCAACAGCATCTACTAGACAGGGATAACTTCTTTGGAAGACCTCAAAGACAGCTGAGTGATGAGAGAGCCATTGCTTTTAGGAATTAAAACTTACTTCCTTGCTGTAGACCCTCACTGTGTTATCACTCACAAAGGAGTCGATTCATGGCTTTCTGTGTCCGGGCGCTTCCACTCTGGTTTTTGGCTATTGAATTGGGAACCTGGGTACTTCATCTTGAAACCGGCCATTCATGAGAAGTCTGCCTTGCTAAATTGTCCTATACATTCGTGCATATGTTCAGGTGTGACCTTGGGGAGAAGATTCTAATTGACCACCTCCTAACTGTCACAGTACATTCGAAAGCAACTGCAGTGTGCTAGCCAAACTGTCCCGAAAAGAGTGGACCTAGCACGACGCTAGACCAGCATTTGGTTTCATCGTACTTCATTATTTCTTTTCAATCCATTTCCAGGCACTTCTCCATTTTCAAGAGTGTCTGCTTTGCTCCCAAAACCAGAGAAGTCCTTCCTCGAGGACCCGATACTCACTAAGTTACTAGAAAGTGGTTGTCATTTCTTTTCCTGTCCAATAGTTTCTACAAATGTCACAAAATTACAAATATACTAATCAGAAAGGGACAAAGTATTTCAGTCTCACAGCTGTGAGGGGAATTTAAGAGCTTCGTGAGTTTGGTGACCTGAGAATTCTGTCCTCTGTTTTCAGGCTCCATGTCATTGAGTAATGTTTGTTTTTGTTTGATTGTTTTCTGGGCAGCAATTTTATAACTAAGATTAGGAAAAATCAAAGCTGAAAGTGTCTTCCAAGACCATTGGTATATAAGGCTTGCTTCAAATGGTTAATGGTAACATGTTTCATCCTCACTTGTTTTCACCTCAAAACTTAGAAAAAAAAGTTCCCTTCATTACATACAGAAGCAAAGGGCCCAACTTCATGCTGCCATTTCAGAATAGCGCTTTTGTGAAATCTTGGCAGAAATCCAAGTTCTTTTTGCAGGGTTAAAGCTTTGACTTAGGAAGAAGAACTTCCACAAGGTGGAGGAACACTGAGCACTGGCCTGATCATTCTACCTGACCTTAAATGTGGCACTGACAGTACTTAGGACCAGTGGTGAGTAGCTGGTGGCATGGAGTCCCACCAAGCCGCCCATAAGTACAAGAAATGCCCACAATTGAAGGAAGTTAGCAAGTTTGTAACAGAAGCAAGGCTAACATATTTCAAAGTATCAGCGAATACAAAATGTTACTCTTTGTTAGTGGTTACTACTTCTTTAGAGACTAGAAACTGACTATAAATGACATTAAATAATTTGGGTACCAGGGCCACATGTCTTTATCTTTATCTAAACTCCCCTTCAAGATGTGATAGGATAGAAGCAATCACAGTTCTTATATAAATGATTGAAAAAAGCTCTGGCTCAATAAAGATTTATTTACAAAAGCAAGTTTCTATCCAGATTTGATCAGTGCTATGGCTTGTCAGAATCTGATCTTGTGTCATTGTTGTGTTTGTTTGCTTGTTTTTGCTTTTATTCATAAGGTCTCATTGTGCAGTTCAGGCCTGCCTCAAACTTAAGATCTCCCCTCAGGCTTCTCAGGGCTAGTACTACAGTTCTGAGTCATTAGGTCTGCTGTCACTCTGATTTTACATGTTACAAACCAAAGGAGCTTCAATTAATTTTTAACTAGTCTTGAAAAGCAGAGAAAGGAATGTAAATCTAGGAGTGCTGAAACAATAGGACAGCAGTAATGGAAAAATGAGCACAGAGCAGAGATACCTCCAGAACTGTAGCCCTGGCAGTGAACATTAACTGACAAGGAAAAGAAACAGTCCTGAAAATGTCTGCTCTTCCTGACAATTCCGAATTTAAGGATTCCCTCATTCAGATGCAAGAAATAGAAATGCTTCAATTCTGAAATCTAAAGTCCTTGCATTATAATAACAACCTGCAATCATTAACATTAATTTTTTCATTATATTGTCATAAAATAGTACATAAAACTATTGCCTGCTTGAAATAAGAAACTAACTCATCTTGAGAAATTATTCAGATTCATTCAGGCATGGCGGCACAGGCCTTTCATCCAGCACTTAGGAGGTAGAGTGAGACGGCCAGAGAGTTTGAGTTCAGCTTGCTTGACATAGAGAGTTCCAGATCAGTCAGAGCTATATGGTGAGATCCTGTATTCTTTGAGAAGTTCATACCTACATACAACAAAAGGTGATCAGATCCTGCACCACTGGCCCCCAAATTCCACCTCCGTTTCCCCTCAGTGCAACACTCATATGCATGGGTATAAGCCCCTCAATTTAGCACAGATAGCATGCCAACAGTCTCAGTCCCTAAGAATGAGTCTCTCTCCTTAGTGCAGTGCTTCTGAACCTGTGAGTTATAACCCCTTTGTAGGGTTTATACCAATCAGACAAACATATACGCAGAAGGATGTCCCCCATCACAAAGGTCATCTAAGATCATCAGAAGACACAGGTATTTGCATTATGATTAATAACAGTAGCAAAACTACCGTTATGAAGCAGTAATAAAAATAATTGCATGGTTGGGTGTCTCCACGACATGAGGAGTTGTTTTAAAGGGTCTCAGCAGGAGGAAGGTTGAGAACCATTGTCTTAGTACCTCTTGGCTGCCAAAAACATTCCAGTTAAGGGTGAGTTCTCATGAGCCTCCCTCATCCATGCCTGCATTTTGGCTGGTTTATGTGTAGATCATGGGCATTAGTTAAGCATGTGTGCTGTGAGTGCATGAGCGAAATCAATAGCCATGTCCTATCCAGAAGACAGCGCTCCCAGCACTCCTCCCCATCCTCCAGCTCCTATACGGTTTCCATGTCCCCTTCTTCACTGAGGTTCTACGACCCTTGACACGGCAAGGACAAATATGTCCTGTTTGGGACTGAGAACTCACAGTCTCTTATTCCTGACACTGACCCATAATTAGTCTCTGCAGTGACTGCTGCCAGCTTCACACAGAAGCGACTCTGCTGATGGTGTAAAGCAGTCCTGGAGGAGAAGAGAAAATTTGAATATGTAGAAGATTTTCTCTCACCACCATTTAGCAAACACAGTACTAGAAGGAAGCTCAACTTTTTCATTGTATAAGATGTGTCCATATAGGGCTTGAGTTGCATTTGAATGGAATGTTTTCATCTGGCTCCATGACTTCAAAGAAGTGTAGCATTGAGTCTTTATACATTATATATACTATGCCTTTGATTAAGAATGTTTAAGAGTGTATTTTTCTTCATTCTCCTGTTTGAATTAATAACAAAGAAGGGATGTGTTCCCTGGTGAGATTTATGAGTGACAGTTAGTGATATGCTTTAATTAAACTAAATCATAATTTGAAAATAACTGATATGCCATATTTCAATTAAAATTTAACTTGGTTAGGAATGTTTTTCCAGTATCTATGTGTGGATCAATCTATTAAGAAGTTGCAAAACCAGGCAAGATTCAGGAGTCTATTACAGACTATTGAAGGAAAACTGTTATATTATTGTATGGTGTGATATTGTAGAAACTTTGAGTGGAGCCCTAAGTGTGGCATGGCCCTATTCTGACAGCAGCAAGTACAGTTTGAAAATGAGCAACCAACTGTGACTCTATCCAGATGTTAATATATCTCTATGAGTTCTTCTTGCCCAGATTTAATATAGCCCAACTTTTTGTCAGACAACAGATTTTATTATAGTGATATAATTTTTAGAGGTATTGACAAAATATGCAAGATACCATAATGGTCACTATATAACAATGGACATAACTGGAAACATTCATTCTTCTATGTATTCAAGAAGTGAGATGTGGGATTGGGGGGATTTGACCTGGGATGTCAGTAAAATATCTCTTTAAAGTCCTTTGAAAATAAATACATTTTAAAGTAGCCCTAATTCATTTGAACCGTGTGTATGTCCTGGGAAATGCTGAGGAAAAAAAGTAAAACTTCCAAAAACTATAGTATAAACAGGTAAATGGCAATAAACCCAAAAGGCATTGCTTTTTTCTTTTTTCCGCATATGTTTGGTGTTTAGACAATTGAAAGTTGAGGAAATGTGCTGAAAGTTTTTTCTTACTGTGGACTTGTTCAGGAATCACAGTCTTCCCTGTCATAGGCACAGAACTATATTATATCTGGGATACAGAAGAGGGGAAAAAAGCAATATTTTATATAATAAACTACAATGGACCCAGAAACATCCAACTCAGTTCTTTAGGCTGAAATATTTTGATGTTAGATAACTCAACCCTATGATGTTAATAATATTTGCTGTTTATATAACACCAGTCTTCAAGGAGCTAAATTAACTTCACAGGTATTGCGTGATGAAAGCTCACACTATGGCCTGGGAAAGGAAAGTGGGTGCCTTCATTTCATTAGACAGGGAAGTAAAAAGAAAAGCAAGACAGAGCACCCACATTTTTGTAGTAGACTAGGATTCAGGCCTTTTAAATTCTCTGACTATTCCTTTAAATTGTGAATTTCCCCTCTTGATAATAAATATTTTTTGATTTAAAAATATTAATAGGAATGCATTCTGCTCATAGAATAAGACTTATTCTTTCTCTACCACCAAGTTTACAATCTAAATAAGACAAGACAGGACATGATTTGAAATACAGATAGCCAGGGTGCAATTTGCACTACTGAGAAGGAGGTGTATCTTGGTTCCCATTTCTTCTCTGAGAGAAGCCACATATATATTTCATCTCTGGAATATTTGAGCAGTGCATTGGATAAAGAGCTATAAAACTATTTAATCGTTTTTTTCTGGTAAAGTATTTTCTGCCTGGGTAATAGATTTGTACATCACTTGCAGCCTGTAACACGGCTAAGTGTTCTGATTGACAGAACACCCACGCTCAGACTTGTTTATTTTTTGATAAGGAAAATGCCAGCTAACTGCGTCCATATGTGATCTCCAACAGGATGAGCCTTATTCGCACGGAATGGACAATCACTTAAAATGAAATGACAGGGAGTATAAAAACAGCAAAACATATGAAAATTAGAATGTGTTCCTTTCTTGTTTTTCTTAAAGCACTGCACTTCTACTTTCAAAGATTATCAAAAAGCAGCAGCCTTATAGTAATACTTTTAAATCAAGATGTTTCATGTTTTTACACGATCGAAATAAAATATACAGATTACAAAGTACAGCAAAATTATACATTTATTATCTTCTTTAGATTGTAGAGCTACTAAGATTATGATGATATATACAAGCCAGTACTGAACTCAGAATTAATATGAAGGTAATTTTTTAAATTATGGTTGAAAACATTTAAAATTCTGTCTCCTGATGTGGTCTCCATGATACTCGTTTGCATCCTCTCATAGCTGGTTCTGGTGAGATCTTTCCAGTCCCTTATCTGAAACACAAATTTGAATATTGCTAAGAAATTGAAAAAGGCCTGAAACTAATCTGATCTTCAAGGTAAGGGAACAGTTCTCTACAGTTTCTGAGAACCAGAGAGCATGAGATACTGTGGGGACACCAGACCTTGTTCAGAGACCCACTTCCCCATCAGCCTGGGAGTAGGCAGCTGTAAGACAATGTTTACTAAAAACAATACAATGCCCGGGGCAATAAGTTCCTGAAAAGGGCTGGCCCACAGGAACCGCCCTGACCTCAACCTTGTCCAAAGACTAGCTGCCTCTTCTGACACACCCAGATCAGTTTTTGGTGTCAGAGCAGAACCAGCCAGGGGTAGAGAGAGAGCAGAATCCTTTCTGGAGGGAGGCCTTTCTTGGGAAGTTTTCTTGAGCCTTTTTGGGACCTGCTTAAAGTTTTCTTTACACCGTTGAACGAGTTTCTGTGTTGTCAATCCCCGACACTCTCCACACATTCTCGGACGCAGGCTGCGCAGGGGACGCGGCAAGATACCCCTGGGCCAGAGACAGTTGGCTTTATTACTCAATGCAAAGCAAGCATTAGGCATTTCATAGCTCAGCTGGCTTGCCTTTCTCCCTTAAACTAAGGAGTTTGAAGAATTGAGCCAAGAATGAATGCAGTACTCATCTCAGAGCCTAGTACCTTGGACTGGGAATCCAGTCTCTATTGAGGACAGAAGTCTGTTCAGCCTGTCTTTGTTAGCAAGGACAACAGATAAGCCTGTCCTCTCCTCTAGAGAGCGTTGCTTCTTTATTGTGCAATGTATTTAATAAATACTTGTGCTTTAAATGTCTTCTTGGGACAAAAACAAGTCAGTGCTTCTGCCTTCAAAACTTGCAGAACTTCAAGGGGCCCATTGACAAGTACCTCCCAGGAAGCATTTTCATTAATGTTTCATCTTAGGATGCAAATTTGACATTTCTAATTCTAATGTGAAAATTAGTTACTATGGATTTATGGATATTATAAATCAGTGTCCTATCTCTTGCTGTGGTAAGAGAGAGCAGATAAAAACATTATTATTAATATTTTATTACTAATAAAAATAAAATGATCTATGCCTGTGTTATCCCAAACACATAATATATATTCATATATTAGCTGATGAGCACTCTGTAAGAAAGTATGTACCTTCCTATCTTGAAAAATTATGAATAATTTCAAAGTTCAGTTTCACACAAATTGGTGAATGCTATATGAAGGGTATGTAATGATATGCAAAATGATGGCAGCATGATAACTTCATGTAATGTTTTGGCCCTTTTATAGGGACTTTAAACATAAAGTAGCATCCTATAAATTTGTGTTATTTTGATCTTGAGGGAAAACAGATGTACCAACTGTCATTAGTTATTAAAATATTGTGTAGATTTACTTAGCATACTAAGCAATATGGCACATTTCTTTTACTAAAATTGTGAATTAATGTAAACCCAGGGTTTCATTGGAATATGTAGCTACAGTGATTTTTATAAACATGGTAATGAGATTTTATATTTTACCACCTTTCATTATGGATAAAATCACTATTCTTATAAGACAGCAAAATTAATGGTCATATAATTATGCCCTTGTCCTCTTCATCAAAGTTATTACTTAATACAGAATATATTCTTAAGTATTATATTGGGGATCTGCAGTTGAGGTCCTAGAATCACCATGTCTGACTTTTAAGCATTGCTTGTGCCATTACACCCCCATGTTTCTGCCTTACAAAACCTAACTTTATTCTGAATTCTGTTTTTCATAGCACAAAACAATTAAGAGTCAATACAAGTTTCCAATACTCAGGCTTGCACCAAGGTCTTTATTCGTTTGTTTGTGGAATTGTGTCCTAGCCATGAGTTACTCAAAGGCAGAGCAAGCATGTCCCGTGTTAGTTCTGTTTGGCAGCCATTGTGGTGGTACCAGGCAATGCCGTTGAGCTGTTGAGATTAGACAAGATTTCATGGGTGGCCACAGCATCTCAGAAACGTTGGTGATATCTGGTTGGGCTACAGATCACGTGGTTTTCTGAGGTCTCCTTGGCAGTCGTGTAGAGAGTCAGGGATGAGGGAACAGATTGTCTTCAGATGCACCGGTCCGGCCTGAGCTTTCTTTATTGGCACTTACGGAGTCTACTGTTTATTGCACTAAGTGAAACCTGTTTCTCTCACGGCCTGTGCAGAATGTGAAGGATGACGGACAGCACGTGTGGCGACTCAAGCACTTTAACAAGCCTGCCTACTGCAATCTCTGCCTGAACATGCTGATTGGCGTGGGGAAGCAGGGCCTCTGCTGCTCCTGTGAGTACACTGGCTCTGCCTTGCTTGAGGGAAAGCTGAGCTCACACAATCATCATGTTCACGTGATGCTTATAATGTGTATTTCCCTGTAGCTTCTCAATGCTCAGGTCCCCGGCAAACTTCCTTTCAGAAGAAACTAATGATACTCCCCAACTCCTTAGACATTTCTTTCTACTGTTGTTTAATTTCATGTGTTCATGGTTCTCATCCCTCCTTGGAATATTGAGACGTCTTCCACTGCTTTCTCACATTTGTATCTTGTTTGCGTTTTATATTCACCTCGTATGTTAACCACGTTATTTGTAATTAGCTTTTCAGGGTGAGATAATGCCTTCCAGGTTTTTTTTTGTTTGTTTTTTCTTTGGTTTTTATGAGACAGGGTTTCTCTGTATTGTTTCGGAGGCTATCGGTCCAGCCCGGCCTCGAACTCACAGAGATCCGCTTGCCTCTGCCTCCTGAGTGCTGGGATTAAAGGCGTGCGCCACCACTGCCCGGCCAGGTTTTTTTTTTTAAATGAAACACTTAGATCAATTGAATAAAAATAGATTTTATTCATTGAAATTATCAACAACTTTACATATCCATGTCTTGCACCTATTTTGTGTGTGTGTGTGTGTTGTTCCCATGTGAGATTGTTTGTTCAAGTCTGACCTCATTTTTTTTTATCACACATTACATATTGACTCAGATTCTCCTACTGACCCACATCTCAAGTAGTCCAGCCTCTGGGAACTTCTGTCTCCACTCTCTGTGCCAGCCTCGCAGATAGTCATTTTTTAAAATGAGTTGTTAGGAGCTGAATTCTAGTCTTTGTGTGGTAAATCCTTTACCTGCTGAACCATTTCCCTAATCCCTCAGATACATTATTTTTACATAAAGAAAAATCTTCATCTGGCTTCTACATCCGTATGTATACAAGGCAATATAAGTTGTTGAGAAGAGGCCTGGACAACCTATAGGGCCCTGGGCAGTAGATCAGTATTTATACCTGGCATACAAATGGAATTTTTGTGTCCATACCACAAAGAACGATGCTCTCTCAGCCTGGACTCTTGGGGGTGGACCTTGGCCCTGGCCTGAAAGAGGTGACAGACTTTGGAGATCCTCTGTGGGCAAGGGAGTAGGGATAGGGTGGGAGGCTGGGGGGAAGGGCTGATGGGAGGGATGTGGAAGGAGGAGAGGGAGAGGGAGCTGGGATTGACATGTGAAGCAAGCTTGTTTCTAATTTTAAAAATGTAATAAATAAAAAATAAGTTGTTTTCATTCTGATAATTTCAATCCTCTTGCCTTACAATATTTATTTTATTCTAAGAAACCCATACTGCCAGTTGAAGATTTGCTAAGACACGGGGTGTGTACATGTGTGTCAGCTAATTTGTAAAATTATCCAGTATCTATTCAGTTTATATCATTGTTACCTGAAAATGAGGTTGATATGCCCTGGGGTAAGGATGAAGGTCTCCATCAATCCATTAGTTTGACCACCTTCTTCTCTGCGTTGCAGTATGCTTTGGAATTTTGTTTCTCTAGGTGTATTTTCTGACATTAGAAACTACACTTAATGTCATAGATGTGTATGATTTCTAAAAGCACTAGGGTCACTTTACCAGGCCCCTGCATGGGTGTCAGTTGGGGGAACTGGGCAGTCTATGGTGCCTCTGGCAGAGGAACCAGTATTTATCCTTAGTTCACAAATGGGCTTTAGGGCCCATTCCCCATGGAGGAATACTCTCTCAGCCTAGATACACGGGAGGAGGGATTGGGCTTAGGCTCTGCCCTACATGATGTGACAGACTTTGATGATACCTCATGGGAGGCCTTACTCTCCCTGGGGAGTGGATGTGGGGATGAGATGGGATGTCATTGGGGGACATGGGAGAATGGGAGGGAGAGGGAACTGGGATTGGTATGTAAAATAAGATTTTTTTTAATTTAAATAAAAATTAATAAAAAAGACTGCATACTATTACATAATATGTTTGCCACATATCACATAAGATGAACACTTCAAATGACCACTTTGGAAGATTCAGATATACTAGAACATTCTCCATGTACAAAAACAAAAAAAATACAACAAACAAGCAAAAATCTGTTTCAGAGCTTCTATAACTTTTTAAGGTAGTGAACATTTTAGGGCAGATTTAAGTGATTAAAACAATGTAACTTGCAAAGAAGGATGGGGTATAATAGATTTTTACATATAAAATGGAAATCTTCATGTGTTACTCCTGACTCTTGCCTGTAGAACTCACAGATGTTCCAGAGTTTTATTATAAAATGCTATGAGTATTATACGCATGTCCTTCATAATTCAAGAAGTAAACTTTTAAGGTGCTGATATATTTACTTTTACAAACGTCTACGTATTTGTGAACCCCGAATCACTAGTTTGGATTCAGAATTCAGGTTAAAGATAAAGTGAACCAACCAATATTAGATTGGAACCACAAGATGTGCAGATGCAACCCTCCCCCCCCCCCATTTTGTATGCTTTGGTTTTATGGCACAGATTACAGACATGCATACATATATACATTTGCTGGTATTTATGTATGTGTGTTTTCACATAAATGCCAAGTTTTGCTTCCTAGCGCCATAGATTGCCTAGTGAAGGCAGTGGATTTGCAGAAACAATACCATGATGAAAAATGAAAGATGAACTTCCTTGAAGTCCTGGCTTGGATGATGAAATCTGTTTTCTAGAAATACACAAATCTGCCCTATAAAGTTTAGATAAGTCAATATACAAAGCCGTATAAACCATAGGCATTTACTCCCATGACTGCCAGCTGCTCTCATGTCTGTACTTTGTGAAATATAGACCTCTTCATTCTACAAACGACACCAAGCCATTTGGCAGCCATCAATTTGTCTTTAATATTTTTGTCATCTGGGAATTATTGTGAAAAATTTGAGCAAGAACTGATTTAATTAAGCATTTCCTGCTATGCCATGATAGAGGAGACTTGGTTTCTCATATGCATACTATTTCCTGTACTAATTGGCCTTTTGTATTCCATGATAAAAACAGCCGACATGGACTTTTTTTCCTTGATGTGGCTGATTGGATTGATTAGGGAACTGTGGATGTGAAATGAGGTTCTGTTAATGTCATTCCCCCCTTGTAAAATTGCAATCAGGACCAGGGTCAGCTCTGAATCTGTGTACCTGTTTCCTTTCAGTCTGCAAGTACACAGTCCATGAGCGCTGTGTGGCCAGAGCCCCTCCCTCCTGCATCAAGACCTATGTGAAATCCAAGAAGAACACAGATGTAAGTTTGGCCACACAAGGTTTTCTAGATGTGTTGCCATGGGTACCTCCTCTCATCACCAACTCTTCTTCTGTTTTAGGTCATGCACCATTATTGGGTTGAAGGCAACTGCCCAACCAAGTGTGATAAGTGCCACAAAACAGTTAAATGTTACCAGGGCCTGACGGGGCTGCACTGTGTTTGGTGTCAGACCACAGTGAGTAACACGTGACAAGCTGAGCTGGAAGGGATTCAGAGTGGGAATAAATCCACTAAAATCCTAGGGGTTTCTTATATCATCTGCCTGAGGTTCAGATTTGTCTTCTTTGAAGCCAGGATTGTAGGACTGGTCTCAGAGATGACATGCTTATACGGTTTTTGCATGAGGTCCCACAAAACTCCAGGAGTTCCCAAGAAAGCCATCAGAAACCACAGATAAAAAGTTGCAAACAGAACGGGTTCATTTCTGCTTGGGCATCATTGCTTCTTGGGACACACATCCATCTTTGTCCCTACCATGTTGCTTTCCTACTGTTACACTGTGAACTGTCAAGGTTTTGATGTAATAATGACTAAAGACCTTCATGAGAAGTTCTGGGATACTACCAGGTTGGCTGTCAAAGAGCTCCAAATCACTTTGGAATACAAAGTTATTAGATGGTCTGGCTATATCTGTATCATTTCTGAAATTTAATATAAGCAACCATTTCTTCATTCTGAGTGTTTATTAGCCTGGAGGGGCATTTTGTTGCCTACTTGTTTTTTCCCCCCACAGAATAACATATTGGTCCTTCCTTTATTAACTACCTTCCCTTTGTCAAAATAAACAGCAGAGGGAGCTGTGGTAGCTATGCAGATCAGTTTTTGTTGGTGCTACAAGGTTCTGCACAAACCTATATGTTAAACAATCTTCTTAAGCACTCACACACACAGACACACACACACACACACACACACAAACAACGTGAATAATGCAAAATATAAGTTGACTTACATTTAAAATGGAGTTGAGTATTGTAAAAACTGATCACACTGCCTCCACTCATTTTTAGTTATCTCCGAGTAATTTCAGAATTTTAGTTTTCAATCACAGTAAGAATAGTTTTTATTAATTTATTGATTTTGCAGCCAGCTGACAGAATGTATATTTAGTATCATTCACATCTTTCCTAGAGTCACTTTCAAATAATGGTACCAATTGAGAGAGATCTTCAAAGAACTAAATGCCTTCTTTACTTTCTGGGAATCAGGAGGGTGCAGAAAGATAAGGCACTGTCCGCAATAAACTATCTAAGTGGCATCCATATACTGAGTCACTTTGTGACAATATTCTACATGATGGCATGGAGTTCCAATACCTATCCCATAGGATTGTCTAGGGATCATGTGGGTAAAACGTCAGTGTAGATGTGTTTAGAAATGGAACATCCACTTAATGGATGCTTAGTGATTAAGTATCAGCTCAGTAGGAAATGTGTGAAATGGGCAAAATCTGGCATGGGTGTGTAATGCCAACCCTGGTGTCCATGGGTCACTCCATGAGTGGTCCTCATGATATTTATATCTCATTTTGGGAAGATTTATAATTGGACGCTGCCCAGTCCTAGTCAATAATGCTTGCATCTTTAGGGTGCATAGGGAATTGAGTGGCACCAAGCATCAATAACTTTCACGTCAAGGTCATAGACCCGCATTCTTGAGAGCAACTACTCAACCCTTACTGTGTCCCTTACCCCGCGGATCCCAGCATGGGTTTCTAGTCACTGTGAGAGTCAGAAGTCAGCGTTTCCCTGTCTTTCACATTATCTCCTTCACAGAGCTGAGTGCTAAGCCCTCACATTTCCTACTTAAAATATCTCTCCCAGATCTGAGAGTTTTGACTTCACATTCCCAACCTTAGTGCAAGCTCTCAGCACATCCCAACTGGATCAGAGTAAGAATCTCTTGGCTCATTTCCCTAACAGAAGGTACTTCTCTAATGTAGGCTTCTGTACCACAACCAGAAAAAAGTTGAAATACTAATTTCTTATAATAAGCCCTCTTCAGCAATCTATAATAATTCCATGATAATGCATATGGCCTCCCCTTTGCTTACCTAATTTTGATTTTGAGTCCAACAAAGTTCAGGCTTAAGTGTTAAGCACAAGTTCTTGCATTCATCTTCCCCACTGTCTCCCCTATTAGAGGTGGATTTCTACAAGAAACACCTGGGAAGGCCGCGGATAACTCCCACCTCTCATTTAACACTCCCCATTCCTTGAACTGTACCAGTCTTAAGTGCTTGTAGTAGCCAACTTCAGTTCTGGATTTCTCTTGATATTTTCTGTGAGGCTGATATTTTCTTCTTCAGACTATTTTTTTACTCTATTTATAAAAGGAAACACTGGACAGTTCTCTAGTGGACTCATTTCTGTATGCCATCCCTGCTTCTATTTTACCTCCAGTGCTACAGGTTGATGGTTATTCTCTAATCATCTGAAGCCCTGGATGGAGGGACAGGCTTTGAGGAAGTCCTCAGGTCCACTAAAATGACTAACATGCTAATCTTCTCAGTGTTAAATACTGAATTTCAAATGCACTCCCTTTTGAAGTTTTGTTTCAAAATGTTATGTATATTCAAATTGCATCAGGTAGTTCAGTGAATTGTAAAAGTTCAATGACAAAAGTCCATCTCAGCACCTCTAAGTCCGTGAAACCTCATTGTATTTGATTCTTTACTTTGGCCTACCATCTTGTAGATGTACATCTAGGTTCTAAGAATGGAGTTTTACGTCTTTTAAAGTTTCCTACTTAGCAAGGGAAATTGGCAGAAACCTAAGAAAAGAACAGTGAAAACCTGTAACTCCCATGTAAGCAGCTCTTTTCTGTGCTTTCAGCATCATTCCTTCAAACCAGGAAAGTACTCACTTTGTTTGTGTTTCTGTTTCTTGCATAAGTGCTGACACCATTGAGTGCAAGCTTGACATGCTCCTGGTCGAGCCCTTGTGAGGCAAGAATCACTAAGATATGAAGTTACTACAGTTACTTGAGACTAAATAAGGAATGTGTACCTCATACACTCTAATGACTAACTTGATATCATGTACGGAGTTACATTTAAGGAAAAGACTATGCTCCAATGATTTTTAAGTTTTCCAAGCCATAGGAAGGTTTTCTTTAGCAAATACCATCATTAAAGAAGTACCCTGAATTTGCAAAATATTGATGTCACGGGAAAGTGTCAACCAACAAACAGTTTAAGTCAGGCCACTGAACTTCTGTTTATAAGGACTAACTTCCTTCTTTTATGAATCTCTAGATTCTAATAAATATTTTTCCTAATTTTCCTCCCCTTTTCTACTATTCACTTCTCTCATTATTTCAACTCCACTCCATAACACACACGCAAACACACACACACACACACACACACACACACACACACACACACACCCTTTTTCATCCAAACTTGAAACAGATTTTTCTAATAAACATAGAGCTGGCTCTAAATTAGGTGCTACTGTGAGCTGTCAAATTCTGAAATTATTTCCAAGGGTTGAACTCAATTCCAAGAAAAGCTGGTTCATATTATATGACTTTCTTAGATATAAGCCTGTATCTGCTATCCTGAAAGATAGTTTTGGGGCATATTAAAAAAAACTACTTTTTTGGCTCATCTTTTAAAATATACTAAGATAGCTGTGGACAACATTTTTAAAAGGACTTTGGAAAGGTGGCAACTACTCCCTTTATAAATTTTGCTCAAGAGGCAAGTTGCCTCTGTGCTCTAGTCTATTTGTAACCTTAGTGTCTCTGTTTTTCCTTACTTTGGGCCTGTGTCCTTGAAGACAGTCAACAATCCTTGGCATCTTGCAGATGCTCTCTTTGCTATACATTCTGACCCATGTAATAACATGACAGCAAGTTTTCCTAATCTGATTGTGTTGCTATGACGCAATAATACAAAGTAGGCAATTTTCAATATAAGCAGGTTTGTTTCTTATATTCAGGAGGTTAAGAACTTCCAGGCTGAGGGTATATGTCATATTTAAGCTCCTTTCTGAGACATAACTTGAAAGATCGCATTATGCATCAAGACAAAATGAATATTTGCTGTTTTCCTCTCTTCTGTTTTATTATAAGATTGGTAGTCCTCTCATGGACTCCACTCAAACTTCTGTCTAGTTCCAGTTAGATGACTAAGGCTTTGTCTCCAAATGCTGCCCACATATGAATTTAGGGAATGCTCCCAGTATATGGAATGTAAAAAGTATTTTTAAGATACAGCACCATTGTGAGAAACTTGATTTTCCATTGGCACTTCTTTTGAAAAGACACATACAGAAAACACAATGTTACTAGTAACCTTAAGAAAACCAATTTAGTTTGAATTTTATTATATTGTTTCTGTTTTGTTGGTACCTGTATTTTTAGTAGATTTGTTTGTTTAGATCATTTTAACTTTGCAAGAAACATAACAGAAAATTTATGTTTGGTAGTCTTGGTTTCCAGCTCTCTCTTCGTTTGTTTTCCTAGTTTCTGTTTTATTGTCAGGTGCATTTCTGGGCAACGAGATGCATAAATTACATCTACTGCACAATCTGACTCACAGACTGTTAAAATGGTCACTACTTTTTCCATGTTGCCCACTGCTTTGCTCTTTTCCTCTGTAAACATTATCATGTAATGGACAACCATTAGAATATATCTTCCAGATGTCTGGTTATGGTTTTCCTTTAAAATTAAGATATTCCAGTACATCGTTAGCCTACACAAAGTTCTTACTTAAGAGAAGTTCCTTTTAGTATGGTTCCTGTTTTACTGATAGGCAAGACACTTACTGACATTATTGACCCTCATACATGCTCATGCTTTATGATTCCCCATGTTGCCCAGAAAAACCTAGTGCTGTAGGACATTGTGAAAATTACACTTGAAAAATACCATACAGGGTTAGTAGGGACTATGAAAACAATATTCTACAAGATACTTGGAAGTTGAACCCACACTCACTCTAGTCTCCTGGTCCATTGAATATATCCAAGACCTTCATTCTTTCCATTTAGGCCTTAATATAAAATTTTCATGTTAATTTTATTTATTGTTTATATTGGAAATACATGAATGTAAAGTCAAAGAGAGTTGATACTCAAATGGTGTCTGTGAGCAATGCACTTTCTTTACCTACGTATGTGTCACTTTAGAATTTCCCAAAGAGGAAGACTTCAATGTAGTCTCACGATGCACACAGGAGGATTGCCTTATCAGAAAGTTCTGAACCTATTGCCCTCAATTTTAAGGTGTTTACACAATATCAAAGAGTAAAAGTTTTATCAGTGTGACAAGCCATGATCAAGAGGAGCCCTAATTCATAAGATCTGCATGGGATTTTCATAGTCTCAATATGTCCATTTTCTAGTGCTCGTATAGCAAAATACCCTAAGACAGGTGGTTTATGACAACATCAATTTGTAGTCTTATCATCTGGGAGACAAGAAGTCTAGCATAACAATGTCAGTAAGACCATATCCCTGTGAAGGATGTGGGGAAGTGTCCTTTGCCTTTCCTAGATCCTGACAGTTCTTTGGCAGTCCTTGGCGTTGCTTGCTTCTGGAAGCATTTGGTGTTGCATGCTTTATATGGACAGCACTCACATGTCAACCCTTTGTCACATGCAGCCTCCCCACTGTATCGATATCTCCAAATACAGATTTCCTTTCAATACAGGATCCAAGTCAGTATATCTGGTCCATTAAAATTCCAGCATGAATGTATCTTACCTAGTATATATTAACATAGATTCAATTTGCTAAAAAATTTCACTGGTATCAGAAGTTAAGATTTTTGACTCTTACATATTATTCAGAGCAGAACCTATCCATCACACATTTCACAGCCTGTACCAATGCATCCAGATATCAAGGACTATATTATTTATGTTATGAAAATAGCCTCAATAAATTGATATATTTTAGAGCTAGTTTAAGGAAGCTGTGTTTTTCTTGGCCAAACATAATGTAAGTTTACTTAGTTCTATTGTACACAAGGATTAGGCTGTTTCTCTGTCTTTAATCCCTCTTCTCTCTTGGAAAAAGTCAGCCCTGACTAAGAAAATGCTCACCCCACCTTTCTAGACACGTTTATGTCTAGAAAGAGATGCTAGTTGCATGGATGCATAAAGATGGTTTTAGTTCCTATAATGTAGCCAAATGGGCACTAACTATAGAACAAACATATGAAACTTAAGGCAGGGCCCTTGTGACAGATGTTTTGAAATGCAGGACAGCAGAACTCCTCCTTCAGTGTGTTTCTATCACCAACAGTAAATCAACAATGTGTCTAATCTAAGTGGTTTTCTAAGTGCTTATAGAGGGGAATTATTACAACTAAGGATAAATGGAGTGGACTTCTGAAATGAGTTGCCAAACTAAAAACTGTTATGGTATTATTTTTTAACAAGGCACTTTATATTGTTAAAATATATGCTTTTCCTGAAGTATGAATATCTTATACACAATTGATATAAAGTGTTGAAGGTAGTAATTTCTAAATATTTTTGAGCAAGAATTATTTTTATCAAGTATTTGACTGATAGAGACTATCACATTGATTTTAAAACAATACATTTTCTTATATACTTGAAATTAAAGTTGTGATCAGGGATGATAAGAATTATCAGCTGAGGTTCATACATACTGTAAAATAAATATCACATTACACGATTACATGTTAACTGAATGTCGGGCTGGTAAATACAATATAAAGATAAATTTTTATAATCATAATCATCTTCTTTTATTTATATCCTGCTCCTACTGAGATGAATCTCAGGTTACATTTACATATTGAATTACAAAGTTAAAACTAATGATGGGATCAATTATGCCCCATACTGAGCTGTGCACTTTGGAATGACTTTGAGAAAACAGGAGGGTCAAAAAGAAAAAAAAAGCATTCACAGTGCACAGTGATTTCAAGATTATGCTGAAAGATAAGCAGGAACACTGTGATAGGCAATAATTTGTGCTTGTCTAATAAAGCAGGATTGTTAGATATACAATTTGCAGTCAGTTTTGAGTCTCTTTGTTCTTACAATTCTTCTAATGCAATTGTGCTATATTATTGTATCTAAGTTTCAACTCACTCTTCCCTGGATGTATTGTCATGTCTATTTAACATTACTCCTTTCTCCCTTTCTAGCTGCACAATAAGTGTGCTTCTCATCTGAAGCCTGAGTGCGACTGTGGACCTCTGAAGGACCATATTTTGCCGCCCACCACGATCTGTCCAGTGGTATTGGTGAGTTTGCCCTTCTCATTTGGATGTCACTTGTGGATAATGCGAATAACTGGAACTCTGTACCAACACGTGTTTCTGGAAATAAAGATTTTTTGTTAGTCAAGGCAAAACTGTCATCCTACGTGCTGTCTTCACTGCTCGTGCTGTTGTTCTCTTTGTCCTTGTGTACAAACACGGTGGGGCAAAGTATGCTCAAAATGAAGCTGCTGCAAGTGCTGTCTCTTAGTCATGCTGTGCTTACCAGACCTTACACGGGCAGACTGCTCCCATGTTTTACCTACTTTAGAGACCTAGCTTCCCAGAACAATGAAGGTACTCTTGTGGGCATTTTTTTTTTTGCTAGGAATGCATACTCTACATATTCACTTTTGGAGTTTTTCGCTGAAGGTCAGATGCTTCTTGAAATGGTGACACAGATCTTGAAATATTTTATGCCCTCTCACTAGGTGCTTTTAAAAAATTAGCAAACAATACATTTTACTACCTAAAGATTATCTACCTAAATAAATAAATATGCAAGTGAAAAATGAAGTGGGGAGCAGTTCTGAGAGGACTCTTAATAAGGATAGCAACAGACTTTCAAAGACAATATTCATTCTCAGTCCAAAATTGTTTATAAATGGAAAACTATTTCACAAAACAAACTTATGTAACACACATCTTGGTTTTCAAACCAACAGGGGAATTAAATGGCTGGAATTTGGTTTTATATAACAAAAGCATAACAACTAAGAAATATTAGACAAATACTTTTGTAAAGGTCATCTGAGAAATTAATCAAATTACTCAATTTTCACCCACTTATGATTCATTTTGTGATTATCTGCAAAACGCTGATGGCATCTTAAATATCTTTACTTACAAAATTATTATGAAGTCTTTATTTTGTCAAATTATTGAAAGAAAAGAAAATATCCTCATATTGCTAAAGATAGTATTAACCAGTTTTAATTTCTTTTCTCAATGTTACATTTGTTAAATGAAATTAATTATGAGTATTGACTCATAACGTACTTTAGATTTTAAATTAATTTCCTGTTATCTTTATGCTTTTATAGAGACAAAAGGATTATTACAATTTTACAGTATTTTTTTTCTTTAAAAATATAATGATTCTGACATTGTTTACATTGTTGACATCATGTTTTAACTCCCAGAAATTGTCTAATTTGCTTTTGCACCATCAAGATTTAGGTGAGATACCCTGCTCAGTGAGGACTGTGTTGACCAGGGTGTGTCACATTATGTCAATCATGAGGTTCAGTCTTATTTTCTATCACTAGTTTTTTGGGAAATTGAAGGCTCACTAACATGATATTCCATGGATATTCCTGCCTTCCAACAATCTAGAATGAAAATTTCATTGCTACATTTGGATACTCTTGATTCTGAATAGCTATTTTATAAAATCAGACATTTATGTGGTGTTTATCATGATTTGTGTCTCAACATTTGTCATTGATTCATTAGACTACAGACTATTCTGAAATACGTTCCTCTCTGAGGCAAATCTTTACCTAGCTTTAAGTAACTTTCATTATGCCTCACTGTCCTTGCTTTTTCTCGGGACTCTTTGCTCATTGTCTTTCCATGTGTTTTGATGATACCTTGACTGATACAGGTTCATCACTTGGGTCTGATTTTTTTGTCAATATTTTACACATTTACTTTTTTTCCTAAAGAGATCTTATGTCTCTGGCTGATTTTATTTCTGTGTTAATCATGAACATGCAGAGATATAACCTAGGAGTTTTATCCTATGTTCACTTCAACACATCTAGCATATTATTATTAGTTACTGTAGTAGCATTCATGCCTGTGTACTGAGTTCACATACTACAGCAGATGCTTTGTTAAAAGTATTAATTCATTCAGCAAGCATCTATTAAGTGACAGAGTATATTTACTGTAGAACTAAAGAGTAAGAAGGAATACCACACCACTGCCTTCATAGATCTTATATTCTAGTTGGGTGAAATAATCATCAAGAGTAATACAAATAAGTAAACTATGTAGACTCTGGCTGTACTAAAACATATGGAAAGAAATGATGGTTGCCAAGAGCTAGGGAAAGGAGAAGAGGCTCATGCTGTCAACTCAACACAAGCTGGAGTCATTGAAGAGGATGCAGCCTCGGATGAAAATATTTCTACAAGATCAAGCTGTGGGAAAGCACAAAGGGCATTTTCTTAATTAGTAATTGATGTGGGATGGCTCAGGTCATTGTGGGTAATGTCACCCCTTTGCTGGTGGCCCTGGGTTCTATAAGACAGCAGGCTGGACAAGCTGTGTGGGACAAGCCAGTAAGTGGTACCCCTCCATATCCTCTCTATCTGTCCTGCCTCCAAGGTTTCACCCTGTTTGTGTTCCTGCCCTGTCTTCTTTTAATGACGCATTATGATATATGAGTAGAAACCAAATAAACTCATTCCGTGCAGGTAGCAATAGTTACCCTAACTAGGATGAAGGTCTGTTGTCCAAAAGAAAGAAAAAAATCCCTATTATATGGGAACTGTCAGTTTAGAAATATGATTTGAAGTATGATGGTTATAAATAATAATGTTATACAGGGTATTGAAAATTGTAAACAGACTAGACTTCAGATGATTTCATAATAAAGATTGCACAGAAACATAGGTTATTTGACTTTTCTCTAGTATTGATATAATCCAAGAATAAAGTCAAAGCAAAGGCATTATTTGCCTTTACTTGTGATTCACAAATCCTGGCATTTTCCTTCCAAAATAGTAGCATAAAGTTCCTAACTGAAGTACACAGTGGTATTTTTGTAAAAACAAGTAATACAATGATAGAAAAAATAGTATTAGGTATTATCATGTTTAAAAGTAAAGACTAAAGTAGAGGGACCTTTCTCATTGTATTGACTGAGGCGAAACTTTTTTTTTTCTGTTCTTTTCTTTTTATTGAGAAAGGAGTGAGTTTTGGAAATGATTTGCTTCCATGAGGTTTTGGTTTGCTTATAGGAATTCACTTTGAGTAACACAATTTTTTATATTTGATCTGGACTTTTTGGATTAGTGCAAGACTTTAGTACATCATAATGTACTCTGGTATGTTTTATTGAATAACATTGAAATGTTATTTTATTTTGACTACCTTATTCATATGTAATCAAAAAGCATATGATATTTTTAGTGTAAAGAACAAAATAAAATCACATTGATGAAATTCTGAATCTACTCACAAGAAATTCATTGAAGAAAGAGATTAGAGGGAACACCATGAGGCTTTCTGGGGAAAGAGCTTAATAAAACTCTAGCAAGGACATAATCTCTAAGACAGGACATACTGGATATATTGGAAGGACAATGAATGATGTTAATAGATTGTACAGAGTTTGTAGAGGAATAATTTTACAAATGAAGGAATTGTATAATGTGGAGGGTAGTCAGACTATTATAAATTAGCTACATTTTATTCTGAAGCACATGAGAATTCATCAGAATATTTTCCTTGATAAGGAATGATATAATTCATAATTTGAAGTAAAACATGTGTCTGCTGTGATGGGACACAGATACAGAATTTACATATTTAGAAAGTTGGTGATGGATCCTTGCTTGAAAATGGGGATAGTGAAAGACATGTAAGACGGCTGAAAACTGTCTAGAGGTTGGAAGTCACTCAATGAGATGAAAGGGATCAAACACATAATCTCTAGGTAGCTTCCTAAATTTAGAACATGGCTAGAAAGCTCAAGTAAATGTGGCCCTCTGGTCAAACCTTCCACCAGGTTTTTTTCCAAGAGCAGAGCAGTCATGGTCCAACATGGTCACCATATAAGGTGAATAGAGAGAATCAGGGAGTTAACAATTTCTGCACAACAACAATTGTATAAAAGCAATAACCTTGTTGAAGCAGGGAAATGAGAGAAGGGTACATTTGTGGCTACCATGGACTGGGTGAGTCTTGGAGTTAGGGTTAATGGCATCAGGTAGCAATAATGAAGGAGAGAGAAATACAGATTATGAAAGACTAGAGTTATTGGTCATGAGAAGCACAAACTTATTTGAAACTCATAGTGAGTCCATAAGATAGATAGTAATTGTTGTAAATTTATACACAAATAAGTAGCAAAATTAAGAAGATAAAAGAATGATGTAGGAGAAAAATCCAAATATTACCACTCCAGAACTTCATGGAATCAATTTCTCTACTTTCCTCCAGATCTCAGACATGCCTCCTATTTGTCTTATCTCCCCAATTGGACCCTTCATGGGACAATATTCACAAGGCCCAAATCCAAGTCTTATCTTGGATTCTTCACCATAAATTATAAATTAATCACTGAGTCTTTTTGTAACATTCATAATCTTGTTTCTTTATGTCCCATGCATCCTTGATAATGTCTCTTCTGGGAATGTCTATCCCAGTGACATCCTTCCAGAATTAATTCCTTCCATACTTCTCTCAGATGATTTCTAGGTCTGCTTTCAAAAATGCAAATGTAAAATGTTTCTTTCATGCATAAATTAATTGCAAAATTCCTTATTTGAACCACAAATAGTAGACAAAGTTCTTACCTGGATTAATCCACCCAGTCTCCTGCAAACCACATTAGACACTGGAAATCAAGAATAATTGAACTACTTGTAATTCTCAAAGTACACCTGCTCTCTCAAGCTTCTGAAGTCTTGTATATGTTAATAAATCAGGTGAAACTGCTTCATCTTAGAATTCCTCCTGCCTTGCTAAGCAAGAATTAAAGGTCATTTTTCTAAATGGAGTAAATACATTGAATATTACACCCATTAACTATTTAAAGGTTCATCTTTTAAACAACATAATGCTCTGCTTAGAGAGTTGGTGAAACTGTCCAAACTAGTGGCTACTGAATCTTTTATAACCTGTGGACCCTCATGACCATCCCAGGAATGAATCTACACAGTTATCTGCTATAAATTTTTAATATTTATTCAAAGAAAACCAGTATCTGTCACAAAAAATAAAAATTAAGTGTTTTTGTTATCATTGCTTTC